TGAAAAGAAGCGGGAGACATATGAAAGGAAGTGGGAGACAAGCCAGCTGGGAACCCGACCACAAGCACCCACCCTGGGAGACAAATGAAAAGAACTGGGAGACAAATGAAAGGAAGTGGGAGACAAGCCGGCCGGGAACCCGACCAGACCATCCAGCACCAAGGCGACCATTCTTTAAAGCATTGAGAACCCCTAACAGTAAACTGTTTGGGGAAAAAACATGTTTCTTCGAGCAAACGGTCTTGGATACTGTTTCGATCTTCTGGTGTGACCTCTTTTTGGATGTTGGAAGGTTCTTTTTTGTCATGAGCCATCTTAGCCATCTTGGACCACTCTGCGTTTCTTGCTGGCAACTTACTCTGAGAGCCACACTGGCTGAAAAAGACGCCGCTTCACCATGTGAAACCACGCAGAAAGACGACTGCACGGTGGGTGCTTTTTCCAAACACACTGTGGCGCAGGTGTGGGAATTCGTTGGCAGAGAGATGATAAGTCTTGAGCCGTGCGGCTCCACGTGATAAGCTTCCTATCTTTCGAGAATGGGACGAACCTTCACCGTGCCTGTGAGAACATGGTTTCTAAGACTTTCGAGCGAAGATAGGCAATTCCTTTATCCATGTATATACCAGTTATATTTGTGGTGTAGACTGTTGAAGTGAATTCAGAAACTCAGCTGCAGCCAATCCCTCACTGCCCCTGGCCGCACTATCATCGTATCTCTCGAAATTCCCGGATTCAGCGGAAGTTACATCTAAGAAACTACTAGTAGCTAGAAGCTATTAGGTTGGAGGCCATCGCTACTAGGGTGGAGGCAATTACTTCTAGTAACAAGAAGCTACTAGTAGCAAAATGCAATTAGGTCGGAGGCCATCGCTACTAGGTTGGAGGCCATCGCTACTAGGGTGGAGGCCATTACTACTAGTAACAAGAAGCTACTAGTAGCTAGAAGCTATTAGGTTGGCGGCCATCTGCTGGGGTGGAGGCAATTACTACTAGTAACAAGAAGCTACTAGTAGCTAGAATCTATTAGGTTGGAGGCCATCGCTACTAGGGTGGAGGCAATTACTACTAGTAACAAAAAGCTACTAGTAGCTAAAAGCTATTAGGTCGGAGGCCATCGCTACTAGGTTGGAGGCCATCGCTACTAGGGTGGAGGCAAGTACTACTAGTAACAAAAAGCTACTAGTAGCTAAAAGCTATTAGCCTCCCATCGCTACTAGGTTGGAGGCCATCGCTACTAGGGTGGAGGCCATTACTACTAATAACAAGAAGCTACTATATAGTAGCTAGAAGCTATTAGGTTGGAGGCCATCGCTACTAGGGTGGAGGCCATTACTACTAGTAACAAGAAGCTCTTTAGTATGTCTTTGAAGCTTTCTAGTAAAAAGAAGTAAACAAGAAGCTTTTTAGTATGTCTATCGTGTCCAAGGTAGTAGCTTATTCGCAGCTAGTAGTTAACTCTTCTACTAGCTTCCTACCGCTACGACCTTAAAGAAAAAGTAGACGAACGAAGCTTCCTTGGGAATCGTTTCACCTCCAAGCTATTGGAAGTTACCTGCTGATTTCACATCTGAGGACCGCGCCGCCAGGACGAGCACGATCGTCATCCCAGCTTTCCACTCACTCGCATCCGACGTAGTCCTAGACGAGTCGAGTGGCGAGTCGAGGTGGTTCTTTCAGTCGGGACTAATGCAGACTACATTGAGAATTGGTAAAATATCCATGTGGAGAGGTTTTACAATCCCAATGAGAGGGTGTTTCTCAATCCACAAGACAAGCTACTTGACTGCGAAGAAGAGTTGAGTTTTTACCCATGGTTGAATCCTGTGGTTCTTTCTTCGAGTTTTGTTGGAAGCCCAATGTTTCGTAGTGACAAACAAGAGTGAATAATGGCGGTCGGTTCTATCCTAGTACGATGATGGTTAGTAAAGGCCTTGTTCAACAAGAACTAGATGGTGACGTTCTTGTTTACTGACTGTTACAAAAAATCGGACAGACCCACAATAGCGGTAAGTCCTTATTCGCTGTTGGGGGACTCTGCCAGTCGGTCCTTGTTCCCAGTTCTCTGTCCCAGGCGAAGGGGTTGTTAGCAGTTCTTCG